TCCCCCGTCGAGCCCCCCCCCGTACGCTTCCTCTCCCCCGTCCCCCCGCCCCCCACTAGCCTCCCCCTCCCCTGCGTCCCCCATAGCCCTCCCTGCGCTCGCCGCCATACCCTCCTCGTCCGCCCCTTCCTCCTCCGTACGAGTCGTCTCCCCCCCCGTATCCGCTGTCCCTGCGCTCGTAGCCCCTCGACTGCCCGCCATATCCCCCTTCTCTGCCGCCGTATCCCCCTCCCCTACCGCCGTAAACCCCTCCTCCGTAGCTGCCCCCGCCCCGGCCCTCCCTCCGGTTCCCGTATCCGCTGCTGCGGCCCCCCGATCCGCCTCGCCCATAGCCGCGGCTAGACGGGCCGTAGCCTCGCCCATCGAAGCGCTCCTCCGCCTGCCACGGTCCAAAGAAAAAGATAAGACTAGGCCAGTCTGACCGTCGACTGGGGATGGACGTTGCAAAGAGCCAGCATCATCTCAAGGGAGGCAAAGATTCGCCGCCGTGTCAAGTGCAGTGCGAAATGTGCAGCTCTTACGGCCGAGCCCAATGTTACATAACGGTTTGAGCCGTGAACAAATACACATGCTTTCACTTTCAAATCAACACATAGACCCCAGGACCCAGGAGGCCCTTCTCAAGAGAGTGAGCATCCCTGGCTGAAACAAACATTTGAAAGACCGCACGGCCCCCACCTGATCGTCGTCTGCTCCCCAGCCCCCCCTCTCCTCGTCGTCGTCATACGCTGGCCTGCGCCCCTGCGCCCTGGGCACAAAGGTGCGTGCCACGTCGCCCTCCTCGGCGTCGCTGTTCCTCCTCCCGCCTGCCACGTCTGCCTCCTCTTCCCCGCCTAGCGCCGGCTTCCACTCCTCATATGCGCGCCTGCCAGGAGCCGGGCCGCCGCGCCTCCTGCTGACTTCTTGCCCGTCGTCGTCGTCGAAGCGCGCGCTGTAGCCGCCGAGGTCGTCCTCTTCTTCCGCGGAACGCCTCCCACGGCCGCCGTACGCGGGGCGCCGCTCGCGGTCCTCATAACCACCCCTGCGGCCCCCGCCAAAGCTGCACGGACCACACCCTGTGTCGGACACGAGTCCATGGCGAGTCGGGGGTATGCGCTCAAGCCGACAAGGACCTGGGTCTAACAAAAACTTCGTCGGCGGGGATCCGCAAGCGACGAGGAGTCTTTATCGTCATGCCAACACAAGTTGAGTGAGCTGCCGCCCTGGTCATTTGAACTGAACCGCCCGAGTTGCCCCTTCAAACGTTCTCGGACGGTCCTCAGTACACTCTTCGCTCGCTCAAGCGACTGACTCAAAGCTTCGAGAACTAAAGAGTCAATTCGAGAAGACTAAGCCGGCTGTTAATTCAACGAGCAGGTGGACAAATGGAGGATTCGAAAATTGTCCGCCACACGTCAGGTCTTCCAATGGAGCACCACGGCCCATCTCGAAGCGACAAGCATGGCGCCCGGTGGCTGTCTCCCGCCCAAGCGCGCTGCCTCACCTATCAGCTTCCTCCGAGAAGGAGCCCGACCTGCGGGGCCGGTACGCCTGGCCCCCCTCGCGCTCCCCCGCCCACCGGTCAGAAGGTCGGGGAGGACCGCGCTCGGCGTAACCGCCGCGCGCATCCCCATAAGCCGGTCGCTGCTGGCCATAACCGCCCCCCCGGAAGAGGGGGGCTCGGTCGCCATCAATGCCTGGGCCTGGCGCACCACAGCGCTTGCACACCACGTTGCGGGCGAAGTTGGGGAACGCACAGCTGCAGGGGACGGGGGAAGCGACGTGAGGACCAGGCTGGAACGACGGGCTAGGCAGGGCGCTGGGGAAATAAGCACTTCGTGAACCAAAATGATACCCAAGAGAACAGTGTTGTGCTTGCTGCCTCTCGCAGGGACTTGACACATCGTTCTCTCGAACAAGCTGAGGTTTGCAAAAGTTCTAGGAGTCCTAGAAGATGGACTTGCGGCCCTCACTCCTTGCACTTCCAGTCCCCTGGCAGCATCTCCGAGTTGGGCGGGGCACCACGCTCGCGGTCGCGGCCCCCGTAGCCGCGGTCCGCATAGCCCCCCGGAGTCCAGGTCGGGGCCTCGCGCAGCTTGGGGGCCTTCGGCTCCTGCAGGCACGACAGAGAGACGTTAAGGAAACGCCCAAAAGCGCCCTGTTCGAACATGTCCTCCAAACGAGCAACCCAAAATATATGTAGTCCCAGGTGATGGTTGCAAGCTGATAGGCACCTTACAGAAGCTGGCGAAAACTCGAGGTAGACCCAAAGACGCCCAAGATGGCGGCAGAGCTTCGGGTTTGTAGGAAAACGCTGGCGTGTAACAGCGGTCAACTCGCCTCACCCTGACACGGTAAGGCTCAACGACTTGATCGAAGACCCATGTATCAAACAAAGGATCCAAAACCGCCAACTGAAGTCAACAGTTTCTGGACGAGTGCGTTCTCTCAGAAACAACGACGCTTGCCACTGTGATACAGAGCTAAGTTAGCCTGGCGCCTCACCCCGCCCAGCCTCTGCTTGGGACGCGCCAGGTGCTTGGGCCGCTCTGTCTGCGCGCCCTGCACCAGGCTGCGGATGACAGTGCGTGCGGCAGCCTCCTGCTCGGGCGTGATCTCGGAGGCGGCAGGCCAGCGCACGGCCTTGCCCGCGTACGCCTGGACCACGCGCAGCACGTCCTGGAACATCACCTCCTCGCTGCTCTTGGCAAACGCGCGCTGGCAGTCGCGCTTCTTGGCGCACTGAACACACACCTGGCAGGACACACGAGGGGGCGCCGCTCAGAAGGAGAGGTGAACAGAAACATGAATGCAGAGCAACAATAGGGTGCCACTCCGACAAGCTCGCACATCAAAATGAGAAGAGGGGCGAAACCATGGCCGAGCTGACAATCTGTCCCCCATCATACACTCGTTCATCAGCACGCAGTGGCTTACCGCAGCCTCTGTAATCTGAAGGAGAGCGCGCACGCGCTTGGAGGCATTGACGGCCTTCCGCTCAAGGGTGCAGCAGTCATCCTTGACCAGCACACGCAGCGCGTCGCGATCAGGCAACCTGCAGCAACGGGAGATGACCACCTCAACACGGGGGCGACTTAGAAGAAGCAGGTGATGACAGATAGTTCCTAAAGAAGAGGTGTGATAAGCAGAGAGGTTGAGCTGCTCAGAGGCTGAGCTGCTCCACCGGTGAAACGGACTTTTTGACATTCTGTTCGCCCACATAAGGTACATCCTCAAGAGGATTCGAATACGATGTGAATACCCTTGACGGTCTGCCCTCAATTGCAGAGGGCAAGGGGATGCTTTGTTCACTACCCCATTACAGAGCTCCCATCAATGCAACCTCTGTGCCATAGTCTCACCACTATGGGCATGGAAGCGGAACAGTCCTCCCTTCCTTTGCCACCTGTCCATAGCAATCCTTCCCCCGCTGAAGTGCCCACCTGATGATGTCGTCCCTGTCGCGCGCAAACTGCATGAGCGCGTGCTTGACCACCCCGCTGTCCCCATAGAACTCGGCGTCGCGGTCGCGCGCCTGGTCCACGGGGCGGTCCGCAAAGCTGTCAAACGAAAAGTAGTCGTGCGGGCCCTCCACCAGCGTGTCCAGGAACTCCGCCCACTCAGGCCACGGGTGCGGCAAGAAGCGGCCCGCGCCGCGCGCCCAGCTGGCGCGGTCCAGGTGCTCCTCCTCCGCGGCACTGTCATCGGCGGAGCCCTCCGAGAGGGTGACACCAGAGGCACCACCGCGGCCTGCGCCAAAAAGAGTTGCCGACACATTAGGTGGGGAATTATTTGTGGATTCAGGAACTACTTGAAATCTATGGTGTAACTGCATCACAACTGCCGGCTTGATGCCACCAGAGCAGAGGCAGGGGTGGCAAGAGGCCTCTACAGGGCCTTTTTGCGCACTCCTTGCCACCACCATTACCATCAGCTGCTCTGAAGAATGCTGGAGACGGCCCTGCACATTGGCCGCAAGCCACTGCATTTGAGAACTGGCCCAAACCTTATCCGTCTACCACCATCCTGCCATCGCTATTTGTGAAACCACCAGTGATGCTGCAATGCAACGTGCGAAAGTGGGCATTTGAGCTGCACCATCACACCCTCACCTTCTTGCGTGAGCGACACGCGGTCATACGAAGTGGCAGCTTCCTGTCCTCCAGCTGCGTCCTCCTCGTACCCTTCCTTGAACCAGCCGCTCAGCTCCGTGTTGCCTAGTATATCTTCGCTGCTAGCTCTCGTACTGCTGGCCCCATTGATCGCCTCTTGCTCCAAGGCCAGCGCCGCAACCCCATCTTCCCCCACCCCAGCATCAGCAGAGTGTCCTCCCCTCTCCTCCTCCTCATAACCAGCCTCGGCGCCAACCAGGTCGACTGCGAGTAGGCCATCCTCCTTGCCCGTGCCGCTGCCCTCTTCCGTACTCAGCGGGGCAGCACCAGTGCCGTCTGCAACAACCTCTGCCACTGCGTTATTCGACGCTCTCCGTTTCTGAGCTGCTTTCGAAGGTGCCGAGGGCCTTTGCAGCGCCCTCCCTGTGAAGATGGACACCAGGCAGGGGTGCTGAGGCAGGCGCAGGCCTGCCAAAGGAGAGCAGATGCGCGCAGGTCGCCATGCCCGGCTGACAGGACCAGCTCCGTCATTGCAAGGAGCATGGGGGCTGCAAATGGAGGACGACGAGAAGGCCGTCACGCAGCGGAGAGATGTGGTGGCCGCCATGGCGGGCCGCTGAGAAAGTGATTCTCTCAAAATGCTGACCACTTCGGGTTGGTAAAGGCTGCACAAATTGATTGGTAATGGTTGGAAGACCCCCTAGCTGGGCAACTTTGGTCGAAGCTGCATGCGGAAGAAAAGCTCAGCAGCCACTGCCACTGCAACTGCCACTGCCACCTGTGAAGTCATGGAGCAAAAGACGTTTCTGAGCGACTTTCTGGACGGTGAGGGTGAGAATTTAAGCGTCATCAGGTCTACTGATTAGGTACAACCTCCAGACTCGCTTTGCCATAACAGACGTCATCCGTGCTGGTTATGGGGGACGAGGACGCCCCACCAGCCACGGCGGGGCCAAGCGATAAGCAGAAGAGGCCCAGCTACTTCAACCCGAAGCCCCCCGCTATTGTGCCCGCACTCATTGCGTGCCACCCGCATGCGCCGATTGTAGTGGTGGCCATTGGGGCAGCATTGCGGGTGCTCAATTATGAGTAAGCGCGCACAAGGGGACTTGGTCTTGTCACAGACTTTGCTTGTTGGTTGCTTCTTTCTCGTCAATTGGGAATGTGGCTCCAATGTGGCCGCGGGAGCGCACGTCTTCACCACCCTAGCCGCAGCTTTCGCTGTTCCACTGATGAAATGAAGAATGCTGGGTCTCAGAATTGTTGTTCCCTCTCCACTGCGATGGCCAAGGATAGGTGCATACCAACATAAGCTGAAACGGCGCCATCCTTTGGTGCATAATGTTTGATTCCCTTTGTTCAGGACCGGTGAAGCGCTTTTGCTATCAGACGCCACCATTCCTCGCCGCCACCGGGAGGCCATCCGAGCCATTGCTTTTCACCCATCGGGCGCCTTGTTTGCTTCCGGCGGGGACGACAAGCTTGTCAAGGTCTGGGACACTGCCACCTGGACCTGCCGCAAGACCGTGTAAGGGCCAGCCCGCTATTTTGTCTGCCCCTTCTGAAGCTTTGCCTGGACAGTGACGGCCCCCAGCAGGCCCTTCTTCGGTTTGAACCTCGTGAAGGTGGCTTTCATTTTGCTGGTTGTTCATTCATGACCAAGTTCAACACAGGGGGTCATTCGGCAATCCCCGTGGCAATCCTAATGCTCCACGTTACTTTGCAGGTCAGGGCCCAAGAAAATAAGCAGCGTAGTGTTCAGTGCGGATGCCCGCTGGCTGTGCTTCTCCGACAAGTACGGCATCGTCCATGTGACCTCCACAGGCGGCCCCGGAGATGCTGTGGACAGCGCGGAGGCGGGCATCAAGCAGCTGCTGGCGCACTGCAGCAGCATCATCACCAGCCTGGTGCGCCACCCAGCTTTGGCACCGCAGGATGGAGGGGGGGAGGGCCTGTTGGGGATGGCTGAGATGGCACTTATCCGTTGCATTCGAAATTGACTGAGAGTGCAAAATGGAGTGCACTGGGGGAAGCTTTGGGAGGGCTGCTTTCTTCACCGTGGTCCGTAACAACTCGAATGGAACTTGTTGTCATTGGCGTCATGAGGAAGCATCACTTGTAAGAATGTGCGGAAGCCGAGACGTTCTGATGACGTCGTCAACATTTGTGCAGGCTATGTCCCCTGATGGGCGCTTCATTGCAAGTGCCGACCGGGACTACAAGCTGAGGGTAAGGGCTTCTGACATGCAGCAATTGTGACTGGTTGAAGCTACAACTCAGGCAGGTCAGTGCAATCGGTCATTTGGTATCCAAAAGTGCCATTCTTTGCTGAGAGGAGACGCGAAACCTGTGCTTCTCCCTTCTCTTCATAAAAGCACCTGTCAAGGATCGGTTTCAAGCCCCTTGTTTGTTTGCAGCCCCGGTTGTTCGTTGATTCATCCCCCCTCCTGGTGTGCATTGCAGGTGAGCGTGTTCCCCGCCACCCCCCTGGCCGGTGCCCCGGAGATCCAGTCCTTCTGCCTGGGCCACACCTCGTACCTGACCGCCGCCCTCTTCCTGCCGGGCGGCCTCCTCGTATCTGCTGGCGGGGACGGCACCCTGCGCCTCTGGCAGCCACAAATGGGAGAGCTGCTCCAGACGCTACGCCTGGCGGGAGAACAAGAGGTGGGCACCTGACAAGCACACATGGCGCGCCCCTGTTGTTGCGGTGCTCGTGTTGCTGCGGGGGCTGTGGAGCTCAAGGGGAGGGGCAGCAAGTGAGAGCAAAAGCTCTCCGCTACATACATATGCTGCATCACCGATCCGAAACTGGATTCGAGGCGGTGCGCAGTCTGTGCGTACAGGCTAAGAAATCTGTTCAAAGCCTTGAAAAGAAGACCATTGCTTTCGGTTGTTCCTATGTTGCAAAGGCTTTGGGTATTTCTGAGACTCTGACTGTCCCGTCTTTTTCGCCGTGTTTGCCAGATCGCCCCCGTGGAGTCGGTGATGAGCCTGGACGAGGGCGACTCCGCCTCAGAGAGCAGCGGGCGCGCCATTGTGGCCCTGGCCCTCGCCCCAGATGGCGTCAGCCTGGCAGCGGCGCTCGAGGGGTGCGTACCATTGTGTAAAGAACCACACACCGTTCCTCTGCGCTTGCGCCCCCGCTAGTCAGGTTGTTGATTCTTGTTGCCCAGCCGTGCATGGCAACTTGTATTGATGGCAAACAAGGACGGCCAGGCGTGCAGGCTTTGACACCTGCAAGAATTGGAGCGGAACAGCCTGCGATTGGTCTGCCCCGAAAGGGACTTATCGGGATCGAATTCGGATGATTTCAGATGGAGGGCGTCTATTGTGCTGACAGAGCCGGACGGCTATACCTTCCTTCGTATAGTTCCTCTTCAATATCCGGTCGAACTTGTGCTGCCAACCCGTTCCCTGACTGGCGTGCACCCGCCTCTGCAGCTGTTCGGAGGTGGTGTTTGTGCACATGGTAGGGGAGCCCCCCGCCCTGGTGGTCGCTCAGCGGCTGAGCCTCGGGGGCCGCGCCCCGCCGACCAGCCTGGCCTTTGATGCGGGGGGCCGCGTGTGGAGAGTGGCCGGCGCTGTGCAGGAGATCGAGACGGGGGACGCCGTAGTTACGGAGGAGGTGAGGCCAAGAGCCGACAAGTGGGGCCACGTAATGGGCTCTCGCGAGCTTCTTTCCGACCTGTGTATGCTCTGCAGCGTCAGCCTGGGGTGTCCTCGTGGGACCAGGGCTGCAGTTTCCTCGACCACACACTGCAGCCCAGAAGCACCCGGTTCGTAAATCGTAGAGACTGTGAACTGGTTGCTAAATTGCCCAGACAGAGCCTTCAGAGCCATTAGAGCCGTCAGAGCTTGCTTGTCCAATTGCCGTTTGATGTTCAAGGAGGCGTAGCTTTGCCCGCGCTGTTGGCGTGTGAGCGCGGCTGCTGGATTGCCACGCCCGCATGGCATGCGGCTGACGGCCCGCTGCTCTGCCGCTCTCCTGCAGGCGCTGGCGGCCAAGGAGGCTGCCGCAGCCGCTGCGGCTGCAAGCGCGGCCGTGCAGGTCGAGCTGCTGCAGCGCCGCGAGACAGGGGTCAGCGCGAGGGAGCGGAGCGCGGAGCCAGTGGGGCATGGAGCAGGCGAGGAGGCGGCGTCCGCAGCAGCAGTCTATGAAGTGGGGGAGCTGCCTGGCGGGAGCGCAGCCCAGGGTGTACTAGAAGGGAGCCAAGCGGATGCGCAAGCGGCGGCGGAGGCAGCAAAAGCGGCGACAGAAGCCATGCGGAATTTGTTGGGCAAAAGGATGTACACCGAGGCTGAGAAGATTGATAGGAAAAGGAACAGGAATGATCAAAAACCTCCACGAGGCAAGTCTTGACAGGCTGCCGGATGTTGTTATCGATGGCAATGGTAGGTCGAGCTGTTGCCAGGGTCTTTTTGCAAAAGCTGCCACGACTTTTCGCAACACAAGTTGCTACAACACAACCATGAGAAGCCTATATGACCGCATGCACTGGTTAAGGCGTGCAAAAACAGACCGGACCATCAAGGTTGTACGTACTGATTATACTTGCAGTCAGGTCGTATATTGACCTCGATCCTGCTCATTATTTGTATATACCTAGCAGCCGTGTAGCAACATACGGTGCATGATGCCTCCAGAAGAGTCACTCACTGTGCGCGGCAACATGTGAAATGGGAACGTTCCATATATGGCATCATATATTGAGAAATTATAGTAGTCCGTTCATGGCCGTGATTGAATCTCAGATTCTGCGGGCTCTCGAGGCTGCGCGGCGCCGCGGGACATCTTTGGCTCCGGAGCTGTTGCTTTAAGCACGCGCGGGCCCGGCCCGGCCCGGCCGGCCACGCCCATTGTGGGCCGGCGGCAATGATAGCCGAGCATTTTGCGTGAAAGTCTTGCAAGACTTTCACACAAGTATGCATGCATATACTTGTGCCCAAAATGAGTCATGACTTGCAACCAAAGCTAGCTAGGAAGCTGCATTGAAGCCTTCTCGAGTGTGTCGCCTTCTCAATGTCATCAACGGCCGGCGCGTCTCCTCAGTATTATTCATGAATGACAATCAACCGTTCCAAGTTCTCAGTTCTCGCGTCAATGGACCATCTTATTAAGTACCCCATGCATGCTGCTGCGCCTGAGGTCGCGTCAGGCCACACTCGGTGAATCGACGCGTACGGCCTGCATGGCACGGTAAGTTGCACCGAGTGAATTGGATCCATCTAGATAGAAAGCTACTTCGAGAGGACTGATACTCTGAAATGCTCATGCTGCGTATTGTGCAAACTTACTGTTGCCAAGCCTGAGCACCCAGATTGCGTGCAATGCCATATGCAAATTAGGCTCGGACAGCACCTGGGAGCCTGCCAGATCCCAGACATGTAGGGCACATGACATATGGGATTGTAGGGTTATTATTGCACTTATTGACAATATACCATGCTACGATTGAAGGACTTCAACTACTAGTTTGTTGAAGTCGAAGTGGCTGTCGCTGTATCAAGAGCATGTTAACATCAGCGTGTTTGACAAGGGGGGCTGATTTTGGGCAGTTACCCTGGCTGTTTACAAAAGCGGGGCCCATGGCATGAGCCAGTCAAGTTGCCAACACGAAACAGGGCACCGATTGTACATGTGACGAAGAGTTTGGACAGGTGGCCATCCCTAAGAGTTTTAGCCAACACACGTACGTACCGGCCACAACTCCTTGAGTTATGGTCTCCATTGATAGCTGATCACTTGATCCACCTGCCTTTGTACCTGCATATATTGTGGACCTCCTTCTTACCTATTCTCCCCCTTCCGCGAACGTTCAGTAGCGCTATGGTTGCCTATTACTTCAATGAAACCTTAGCTCCGCCCTTCTCCAACTGGCTCTTAGCATCCTCAGCCTCCTCCTTTGACACACCCTCCTTGATGGCCTTTGGCAAAGCCTCGATCAAACCCTTTGCCTCCTTCAGGCCCAAGCTGCTGTCAAGCGCCCTCAACACCTTAATGATGGAAATTCTCTTATCACTAGGGACGTCATCAATGATGACGCTGAACTCGGTCTGCTCCTCCACCTCCGCGGGGGCAGCGGCGCCACCCCCTCCAATGGCGGGGCCTGCTCCGACTGCCATGGCAGCGGAGGCATCAACTCCGAAGGTCTCCTCGATGGCCTTGACAAGCTGCGATGCCTCCAGCAGGGTCAACGCTTTGAGCTCCTCCACAATGGAGTCCACCTTGGCAGAAGCACGGGGCACCACAGTGCGCGAGTTGGCCCTGGGTGCGGAGCTGGTGCTGGCAACCAGAGCTTGCCGCCGGGAGATCAGAGAGCTGCTGGAGGGGAGGGCCGCAGCGCAGGGGGCAGCCTGCATTGCAGATGCACAACGTGGTCAGTGTCCATCCAGGGATGCCGCTAATTAGACAGCAAGCACCTCCCATGTGGCACAGGTACGCGCGATACATTGGAGAAGACCAGAAAAGAGAGATGGAACTTGAGAGCAACAAAGCACTAGACGTAATGTAGACGTGCTCAAGTGGCTGTCCCCAGCTTTTCAGATTGTCATTGCCCTGGCTTGCATGACTGACACAAGTCATATCCAAAGAAACCGTTACCATCTCTTCAACCCAGACGTATGAATTTCAGCATCAAGGTGCAAGTAGTCACAAAGCAGGAGCAGATATCCACCAACCAATGGAGTCAACGAGAATATCAGGCTTGTGCATGACCCAGGAGAGGCTAACCAACGACTAGTCCTCGAGAAGAAGTGCACCTTTACACGGCGTTCAAGCTGACCAGAAATGCATATACTATATGCTGACCATTGCTTCATTACCAAGCACACCTAACAAGCGCGATAAGGTATGTCCGGATTTGCAACCCAGCACCTTGCAATACTTCACGCAACACATGAAATGTGCTGTAGTTCAACTTTGGCATGCCAGGCTAGGCTGGACCTCTTGAAAAGCTTCTCACAAGGGCTTCACTAACAACGAAGGAACTTTCATCCTGCTATCCGCAGCAGATAAACTTTGACACAAAAGGACAACAATAATGTCTGGCATGAGCTGAGGTCCTCGAGCACAACAACAACCCTATTTCCTTGCAAATTGCTGCTCATCAAGAATCCATATGCTGCATTAGAATATACTTTCATCACTGCTTGAGACAGGGTACACGACCGATGTTTCTCATTCAGCCCTTAAAGGAGGTTCAAGTAGGCAAGCACCTTTAAGTAACACAACACAGGCCTAACATGACCCATTGTACCACATTGTGAGTAGTGGACTGATATGTGGTATCCCCACGTATTGCAACCAACAAACCACCATCGATGTTGCTTTCTAATGCTGCCGCTGTGACAGCCCTGAAACAAAGAACCCCACCACAGCAAGGACCGTTACCATCATCACAGACACAGTGTTTCAGCCAGAGGATAGAGAACCTTCTTACAAGAGAGCTGGCATCACAAACAGCTTCCGCCTGCTTACCTGGCGTGTCCTGGTGGAGGATGCATTGCTGCTTGCAACGCAGCTTGATGCAAGCGTTGATGCCCTCACAGCCACAGAAGAAGCCATTGCGCTGCACTCAACTTAGGGAACCGAGTAACAGATAGAACAGGGAGGCAGGCTGGCAAATGTGCAGAGGTAGAGGACTCTCGCGTACGCCACACAAGCGCGCCGCTCCTCACGACCTGTAAATAGTTGCTTGCCAGTCGTCGAAAACAGAGGCCCTGGTGAAGTTCTTGATCACAACTTCGTCGCTTGCTCAGCAAGTTGCTGGGCTTGACTAAGTACTGAAGTCTGAAGTATGGTACCCGGTACCCGGTATCGAATCTGAGTTGCGGGCGACAGGCATGACGTCGAACCTTGCACCACTTATCTATAATACTCCTAGGACCTAGTTGCACTCGACGCCGAAACGCACAACCCTGACTGCGCCAACCTGCCAAAGCGGGCCCCGGCAAATTCCATCCTGCGAGTCTCGGACTCGGAGTCTGCAGAGCACCTCTTCCAAGTTTGTAGACAGCGGTTGTAGTCTGCAGAGGTTGGTCTTGGAAGCTTTGGCAGGGCTGCTGTCGTCGTCTGGCCCCCTCCTCGAGTCACAAACGGTCACAAGGGCTGGTCACACTTTCCTTGGAAGCCAGTGGACAGCTTTTGGGACCTTGGGAACGCAGGCGGAGCAATGCTGGGGTTTTGCAAGAGGTTTTGAGGACTAGGACAAGGCAGGTGAGGTGTATCTAGGTCAATAAAGCTTGACGTCTTCGTCATTTGTGAGTATGTGTCTGTTTATCCGGCATTGCATCTACAGCACATACCCTGTCATCTGGTTGTCAAGCTGGGGACCTGACGATGTGACCAAATCTTGTGCCACCTGGTGTTGAGATTTGTTGGGGGCAAGTACGTTGAGGGGGCACCTACTCGATGCTTGCTTTTCGGTAGACCAGGGCATTGCAGCAGGTTGACATTGTGAGTTCATGCTGAGTCAAAGTGCGGCCTCCTTGTTGTTGTATCTTCTTGGAAGAACGGTGCACTTTTCTTACAATGTAGGTAGAATGATCTTTCAAGAGTGTCCAACATCGGTAGCTTGCCTGCCTATTGCATATTAGTGCTACTTCGTGCATAAGACTGTGCACTCAGGTCAATGTTGCAGACAGCAGGCTGAAAGTGGAGTGCGAAGCCATGATGGAGTGGCATTGTGGGTGGTAGTTGCCCTGGGGTCGATGTGTCGGTCTTTTGCCTGAACACAGCCATTTCGTATCACCGGAAAGGACGAATGTGCTTTTCGATCCGCAGAGGTTGGTTAGGAGAGAACATTGAGCTTCTTTCAGTCTATTGTTGGGTTCACCATTATCGTCATCAAGTTCCAGTGTTTTCAACTGCGGACGCCCTTTCAATGCCATCTGCAGATCTCCAAGCAAAAGGAACCCACTCCGGAACTTCGTATTTTCTGTCCAAGCTACCTCTTGGAAAGAAGCCTGGTGATTGGCTCTGTTTGCGGAGAAAATTTCTAAGAAAACATCCCGTGGTCTTACACCCGCCTTCCTGTCTGCCTCCAGTGACCCATCAAGCAAGTGATAATGGCCTCCCAGCCTACTGCCGACACTTCCGACGTGGACTCTGCCTCTGCTCCCAGCCCCCCACCCATGCCGGCTCCTGCTCTTGCTGCTCCTTCCGTCCCCGGGTCTAGCGCACCGGCTGTTGCCACCACCGCCACAGCCCCTGCCACCGTTACCGCCCCTGCCACTCCAAAGCGGAGTACTGCACCTGCTCCCCGGCCTCCTGCCCCTGGCGCAACAGCCCCCTGGGCGCAGATTGTCCGTAGCGGGAGCATCAAGAGCGTGGCAGCGCAGGAGGGGCTGGGTGATGGCCTGGCCGCGCTGGTCAAGCCGGGGACTCCGGGCGGGGTCATCACGAGTGCAGCGGGGAAGGCCGGCATTCTGGCCAGGAGTACCAGCGGGGGACCGGAGAGAGAGGATGCTGCTAAGGAAGGGGTGGGCAAGCGGGGGAAGGCAGGAGCAGGGGAGAAGGAGAGTGTTGCCACTGAGAAGGCGGCAGAAAAGGTAGCCGCGCCCCCTGCTGGCCCCGTGTCCGGTCCCGCTGCCCGTGGGTATGCGGCGGCAGCTGCGAAGAAGGCACCACCACCACCACCAGCTGAGGCTGGCGGGCCAGCAGCGGATGTCAAAACGGTGCCTAGCTGGACGGGGGAGAAGCTGGCCGCTCTCGAGGCACGGGAGGGCCAAAAGGGGGCTCGGGCCAATGGTCCAGCCCGAGGGAGTGGTGGCAGAGGATCCGGATCGGCGGCAGGGCCAGGAGCGCGGCGGGCGCAGGAGAAATCAGCAGGCAGGATGGGACAGGGGCAGGCCGGGGGGAGGGGGAGGAGCGGCGCAGCAGAGGAGCGTGTGGGCAGCACCGCGGGGCAGGGCAGTGGGAACAAGACTGCGGTGCAAGAGGAGGCACCGGCGAAGAAAACTGCGGCACCTGCCGTTGTGAAGGAGAAGATCGAGGAGGCAACGGAGAAAACGGCAGCAGAAGTCAGTGGGGCCTCTGAGGCAGGCGTCAAAGAAGTGATACCACCGGTGACAGAGGGAGGGGATACCACCCCATTGACAGGACAGGTGCCGAGGGAAGGGGCTGCCGTAAGTAGCAAAGTGATGGACGCGGAAGTGGCCCCCAAAGAAACGGAAGCTCACCATACCGGGGAGGGTGGAGATACGGATGTTTCGAGAGAGGAGAATGCAGTGGTTGGTGCCGAGGAGGCGGAAGAGGCCAGCGCCACTCCGGTAGCACCTGCGAAGCCTGCCTGGAAGAAGGCGCCTGTAGCGGAGGCTGCGGCGGAGCCCAGCGTGGGCCCTGTGATGGGGGCGGTGAGCTGGCCGACCCTGGGGGACGCCAAGAGCAAGGACGCAGGGAAGGAGAAGGGGGACGCGCTGCCAGCCAGCCGGCCCAAGGGAGACCAGGTGAGAGGCCCGCAGCGTTCGAGGCAAGCAGGGTGGTGTGCGATCCAACCAATGAAGCTCCGCAGAGGACGCTGGGCAAGGACGTGGCTTGAGGGTCCACGCAGCGTTCGGCGTGTGGTACATGCCGATGTCTACCTGGCTTGATGGTTGAATGACAAGGTTTTTGGAAGAGGCAATGGTTCCGGAGTGCCTGTCTCTGGGTTGCTTGATGGTGTGAGAGAGTATAGCCTATAGTAGGGTGGATGCTCAATCTCCCCCCGAAGAATCATTGATAACGGTGTATCTAGGCCAAATGATACGCACCGTCTTTTATATGGTCACTGAGGAGTTGGAGCCACTGTGAGTTTTCCGCGTATGGTTTCGCTTGAGTGTTCGCTCATTCTTTGTGGCGTGCCTGTTTGCAGCAGCGGATTGTGGTTCGCACTGGCACCGTCAGCGGCCTTCAGCGCAAGCGGGTCATCATTCCCCTGGTGCCAAGTGAGCGGCCGGCGCAGTTCGTCACCACACCCCCGGGAGGGGACAGGGCTGCGGCCCTGCCGTCTCCAGGAGTAGAAAGGCGGGAAGGGGAGGGGGCACGCGTGCCCCGCATCTCGGAGGGGAGAGGAGGCCGCGGCATCCTCCCAGGTGGGGGCCGAGGAGCAGGGGGCCGGACTGGCATGGGCCGTGGCCCCGGTGGTAGAATAGGGGGGGACCACAGGGGAGGCCGCATGGGTGGTGTGGCGGGTAGTACGTGGAGCAATCGAGGGGGCGCTGGGCTTGCGCAGCGACCCCTCACGGAAGGGGCGCGAGTGGGGGGTGGGAGAGGGGGACGTGGGACCATTCGCGGGGATGCAGTGGCCTTCGTGCCGGCTTCCGGGGTGGCCCCCGCAGCTTACAGCGGGGCAGGCGGGGCGCTGTCGGCAGGGCCTCCCTCAGCGGGGCTCTACTTTGTGCCGGCAGCCGGCGGGGGCGCCGGGGCGCTGCGGACGCCAGCCACCATGATGCCGCCCGCGGTGCAATATGGAGGGGCAGGCGGTGGGGCGCAGGTGGTGTCGCTGCGGCAGCTGATCATCCAGCAGATTGAGTACTACTTTAGGTGGGCACGCGGCCTGCGTACTGCAGAAAAAGGGCGCTTGTGGTTTTCCTGCTCGTCATTCGTCTGGTTTGGAAGCATGCAGACTAGCTGGTAGCAAATTGGGTGCAGTCCATATTATAGCATGGCCGTTTGTCCATTTGTTGGTGTCGGTGGTCGCAAGGTCCATATTCCTACTTCGTGTTCATCAATGAATGGTGGGTGTTGAAGCTTATCATCTTCTGTTTTTGCAGTATTGAGAACCTGTGTCGAGATATTTTCCTGCGGTCAAAGATGGATGAGGAGGGCTACATCCCGCTCACCGTGATTGCTGGATTTAACAGAGTAAGTGCACTACGTCTCAAAAGTTGTGTTCTTCTTGCATCGAGTCAGGAGGCTTATAGATTTTGAATCCCCTCTTGCGAAGAGTGTTGTGTTGTCGAGCAAACATGCGTCGCCCGTTTTTCGCTCGAATCCCCTTCAAAGCTGTGCGCAGCCTCTGCCATTAGACTTTTCAAAGTGCCACTCCCTCCCTCATAATTCAGTTCTCTTGAAAGCCTTGTTGGTAGCCCTCTGGAAAGATGTGTTGACGATGCCTGTCCCTTGCTTGAAAGATACAGGCCATGCCTGACCTTGACACCCCGTGTGATGTACACTGTGCTGGCCACCTCGTGTCCCTCTTGTCACCCACGCCGCTGGCTGCGTTGTGCAGGTGCGTATGCTGACGGCGGACCCGGCCATGATCCTGGAGGCACTCAAGGACTCCCCTGCCGTGGAGCTAAAGGTAGGACATCGGTACAGCGGAATCGGTCTTGTCACTTTTCCAGGCTGAGGCAACGAGAGCAGAGATTCGGGTTTGTAAGTCGACTCGTGACAGTGCGAACAGTGTTTCAATTCCGCAATTCTGAGAGACCATGCTGACTTGCGGTGGTGTGCTCGTGTGCAGGATGACAAGCTGCGCAAGGCCGGGGACTGGCAGGCGTGGCTGCTGCCCCCCGACTACAGCGCCCCCTCGTCACCAGTGCCGCAGGCGGCCAAGGAAGGGGAGGACGCCGAAGGGGCAGAGGGCGCTGCCAAGAGCGACGAGAGCAAGGTGCTGACGCCCACCAGCGTGCTCAGCCAGGACGAAGGGGAGGGCGACGAGAAGAAGGAACAGGCCGACACGGCGCACAGCTCGGGTCAAGAAGGGGCAGACGACGCGCCAAAGGAAGGGGGAGACGTGTCGCCTGCGGCGGCAGCGGCAGCAGATTCGGACAGCAGCCTGAACGCGGCTCCTGTCGCGGGCAAGTCCGAGACAGAGGACAAGCCAGACGAGGGGAAAGCCGACGAGGCCAAGGGCCCAACGCCGGCGGAGGAGCAGCAACCCAACGGGCCTGTTGAGGGAGACGCTGTGGTGGGGGGCGCCAAGGAGGAGGACACGGTGTCGGAGCTGCGCAGCGGCGGGGGCAGCAGCACGGGGTACAGCAGCGGGGGCAGCAGCGGAGAGGACAGCAACGAGTGGATGAAGGCAGGGGCGCGCAGGCGCGGGCCGACCGTACGCAGCGGGAACCGGCCGCCAGCAGGGCGCAGGGGCGGGCTAAGTGCCGCGTTTGCGAGCGGGGCAGGCAGCGAGGAGGAGGACACGTTCCAACTGGACGAGGAGCTGGAGGGGGGGGCGGGCAAGCCAGCAGGGCAGGCACCAGGCGGGGCGCCCACCAAGTGAGTGGCAAGCGGCGAGCCAGGCCCGCTGGACAGCTGAGACCTGGCCTGGGAGCTAGACTGCACCTGCCTTGGCCGGGCTCATGCTGCCCTGGTGGTACTAGGGTGGCGAGGGCGGATCATGCAGTGTGGACGGCCCTCTCGTCTTCACGAACGTGCCCAGATACTGCGGTTCAAGCTTGTGCTGGTGTAAGAGTGCTGATTTGTTCCAAAAAGAGGCGAGATCTGACGTGATGTTTGTGGTGTGGATGCGCAGGAAGAAGGAGGACACGGACGACGAGTCGGAGTCGGAGCTGGTGGTGGACAAGGACGTGGACCGCCTCATGATCGTCACTCAGGTCAGCCATGACGCGCAAGGCGCAGCCGCTGGATGGCTGGATGGTCTGAGAAAATCGAGGTTACAATTTTGAGTGATCTACGAAGAGCTTGAAGAGATGCGTCGAGGTTGCAAACAACGAGGGATTTTCGACGAGGTTGTTGTGGCTTTGTGTAGTCTGCGAAGTGGCGATGGGGCGAGGTTGGTGTCCGTGCTGTGTCTTACTCTGCTGTTTGCTGTGGTGCGGCGCAGACGAAGAAAGCGGTCAAGATTGACCGGCGTGGTCCCGACGGGCGCGACCACGCGCGCAAGTCGATCAACGACGAGCTGGTGGCGGTGATCAACGACGGGCTCTACTTCTACGAGCAGGAGCTGCGCCACCACCAGCACCGCCCCGCGCGGGACGCCCGCCACGCACCCCACCCCAAGGTCACCGTTGGTGAGCGCTAGCCCCGTGCACAGGACTTCAGGGCACAGAGTTTTGGGTTGTGATCTGAAGGCTCCTTGAAAGGCTGGTTTTGTAGGCAGGGGCAACCTGTCAATCGCTTTTGAGCACCGGCGGTCCCTTCTTGATGTTGCAGCCGTTGCCCTGCTGAGACTCCTCGTTTGTGAGCAGTTCTGTTGAGCCGGCATCCGACGCACCCTGGCCATGCACACCCATGCTACAGCAACGCTTCTCATCCTCTCAGCTGCTATGCGTCTCCGTGTCAAACTGAAGCTGACGTGCTGTGCCTGCTGGAGTCAGCCAGGTCGCTCATGTTCCTCCCTTAAAACATCAACGTGTGTGCTGCGCTTGCTGCAGGCTCTGCTGGTAGCAGCAACGGCGGAAGCCTGCCCCGCGACACGCACCTGGAGCGGCCCCACTTCGCCCCCGGCGGGCGTGGAGGACGGGGCAGCCAGCTGCGGCTGTTCCCGGCCAATCCCAAGGAGCGCTCGCGCAGCAGGAGTCGCGAAGCGGGCCGCTCCCGCTCCGTCTTCGCAGAGAGCCCGCCGAACGACTCAGTGGGCTTCTTCTTTGGCGCTACGCCGCCTGAAAACAGGTGGGCATTGCTGGAAGGCACAGAAGGGTTCCGACATGCTTCCTCTGAATCGCCTTCTGCTTGACGCAGTCCCTATCCCTGGAGGCTCCAACTGGCCAGCAGAGTGCCCCACCCTGACGTGGGCAAACGTTGTTCCTTTGCAGTGGCTTCTACCTTCCCAGCCGCACGTCCCCCGCGCCGTCGCCCCCGACCACCACCACCTTCCTGCCCGGCTCCAGCCCCCCCGTGGGGTCCATGCCCAAGAGCTTCCCCAACTTCCCGCACCCCAGCCACGCGCTCCTCGAGGACAACGGCTTCAAGCAGCAAAAGTGAGGCACTCACTCGGTCCGACCCCCCTGCCTGGCGCCGCCACCATGTCGCATACAGCTGCTGCCGCTGTAGCCTGTGCACGGGACACACAGACACGCGCAGCGACTGACCTGGGTGCTCGTTTGCAGGTATGGCCGTTTCCGGCAGCGGTGTTTAGCGGAGCGGGAGCGCCTGGGAACAGGGCGCAGCGAGGTGAGCCACACTCCCCCGCTAACTCGGCAGCATGCAGACGGCCACCTCCCTGGTCTGCAGCAACGGTTGGAGTGCAGCTCTAGCCTTGCTGCTGCCCGTGGCTGGCCCCCCTCTACCCATGCTGTGCGGGTGCTGAGGCTGGCTGTGGCGCGCGTGCAGGAGATGAACACGCTGTTCCGCTTCTGGAGCTACTTCCTGCGGAGCAACTTCTACGAGAGCATGTACAAGGAGTTCAAGAAGCTGGCGCAGCAGGATGCCGCCGCCAACTACTACTACGGCATGGAGTGCCTCTTCCGCTTCTTCAGGTCAGCCACCCCGGCGCTCCACCACTCCCACTGGGCCACCTCCGGAGTTAAGAGGAGTGCTGTCTTCAGAAGCTGTGTCCACACTCTCGTCCTTTGGCCTCGCCAGCGCTCCTCTGATTCCTCTGCAAGAGTCAAACGGGGTGCTCGAGGGCGCCCTCAGCGGCCTGTCACGCTCTCTGTGGTCGGTGCTTCCGCGGCGCAGCAGCCGTCTGAGCGGTGGGTGTGGGTGTGTGCAGTTATGGGCTGGAGGAGACGTTCCGGCCGGCGGTCTACGACGACTTTGAGGCACTCACCCTGGAGCACTACAAGGCGGGCAACTTGTACGGCCTCGAAAAGTACTGGTAAGTGGCCCATGCCCGGAGCAGGCCATGTCTCATTCGACTCTCCAATCGGCCCTCGGTGTCAATGCGGCTGTCGGCAGCGAAATCTGTCTGTTTATTGTAGGCCTGAACGCCCTGCTCCGATCGATGCTGCTCTTGCTGATGCTTGCTCTTGTGAAAAGGGTAATGGCGAGCCGGTTGCTTGCACAGCCGGACTGCCAGGTCCGCTGCAACTGCTGTTCCTCTGCCTCTTCCGAGTTTCCCTGCACTAAGGCTAGGCCTGAATTGCTGGCAGGTGGTCCAAGATAGAGACCGCCCCCCCCGCCTCTGTGCGCGCATGGCATCGCTTCTTTGTGTGGCCCCGCGTCTGAGTTTTGCGGGTGGGGGTGTGTGCAGGGCGTTCCACTTTTACCGCAAGGACAAGAGCGCAGCGGTGCCGCAGCGGGCGGAGCTCAAGGAGCTGCTGGAGACGCAGTTCCGCAGCCTGGACGACTTCCGGCGCGTGAACAAGGAGATGAAGGCCGCCAAGGAGGCCAAGGAAGCCTCCAGCCTGCCCAACGGGGACCACCTGCCAAAGGCCGCCGCCCCCGCAGCGGACGGGATACCGGCATCCGCCCCCGCCGCCGTCCCTACTGCGAAAGGTCTACCGACCACTGCAGGAATGAAGAGTCAAGCGGACCTGATTGAGATCACTAGTTCGGACGCCGCCGCCAATACACCCCTGAAATCCCCCAGTGCACCAATAGCCGTGGGGTGACTGCTGGATCCTACTCATGCAAGTTGGCCGCTAACCGTTGTTGGCATGGGCAGTGCCATCACATATGGAGAGACTATAGTGTAGATTCACTAGTACCGAGTAGAGTCTTGAGTTGGTTTGGAAACGGGAAAAAGACCTTGGGCAACAAGCGAAGTGTTTTGAGGACATTTCAAGTTCTCTTAGATAGGTAGGTATTTCAGGTGGTAGTATTTGCCAAGCCTAATTCTTGATGGACAAGGTTTGTTTTGTTTTTGAATGGCCGGAAGATATTGTTCGAAGTCACTTTATGTTGCTAGGCACACAAGAGGATGTGTCATGGATTCGGCATCCGATCATACACTATCATTGAGACTATACTCTGCCGTCTGTTATCCTTACGTACAATTGTTCGCGGCCTTTCAATGCAATCATAAGAAGGTATTTGAACCGTTGAATACCAAAGGTGAGTCCGAAAATGCCATTACGTTAGGATGTGGCCGGTCCTCAATCACGATATTGGACAGCGGGGTACATAACTTACCATTAAGCTATCATCGCAGTGGACTTTCGCAGTGACACATTTGCAATTGAACTGAATAAAACGGCGGCCAGCAATTTTAACGTGCGCTCGATCTGGCATCATGCCAATCGATGTCGATGCATGCGACAACAGATAATCTATCAGGCACTGAAGTCGTCAAAGCCTGCATCCGATTGAGTGCGATGTCGACCAACCGCCGTTCGAACAATGCTGCAGAAAACGTCTCCTCTGCTGTCTCCCTAGAGAACTAGCCTGCTTCCCTTTCCTCGACTGGTGCTTTCGAGCCGGACCGATGCTCACGACCGTGCCGGCAATCTCATATTGAGTTGCCTTGTACATAGCGTGTCCCACGCGCGAATTGTGCAATCAACTATCATATAGTACGCGCGGTGCATGTTGATAGAACATGCACTACATGCAATCCGGTCGATTGGATCGATCCAAGTCAACACTGACAAGCTTAAGCTCATGGCTAAGCTTAAACACTATAACAAGATCGAGGCAACCGGGGGGCCCACTGACCGTTTTATTAATCGTCCGCGAAAGTCTACGGTGGCCGCGACTCTTAACGAGAGTCCGGTTCCGAGTGAGCGAGTGAGTGAAAGGATAGGCCAGACTGCCATGCGAAAACCTTTATTTTGGTCTTACGCTGCCAGCCGTCGGACCCTCGTCGGACCTTCTAGCTATTTCCGACCGACCCGAGAAAAATAAGTTAAAATTTCGGTCACTCAGAGTAGATGATCATTCGGTGTAGACTGCGAGAAGGTCCAATGATGAGCGCAAATGATGTAATACGGTGTAGGTACATAGGTACGCATGCATCATGCCGACCGACCGACCGTTAAACAACACCTGCCCCAGTGATGCCTAAGCTGACTAAGCGTGAAAGCGTGTACAAAAGAAAGGCAATTACCATTCTTCACTATGTAATTGATAGTTTTCCAACTATCCAACTATATATATATTGACAAGTCTCGAGCCTCGGAGCCCATCTCGAACACTGACGAGGGGATGACAAGTATACGTACCTTGACGCCCACGACGGCATACAAGATTGGCATAGCGACGGTTACCATTGCATCAGTGCCAAGGAACATCGTGCATGATTGGCAGCATGCGCGGCGCCCGCGCGGCGAACCACGATTGAAAATTGAGGCCCCATTTGCGATTCTGAAGTTCCATGGGCATCGTGTCAAAAAATATGCGGCAATGGCGTCCGCCGACTCCGGCCCTTCGCAATTTTTCTGGAGGGGCTGGTGGCCGGTTCTCGGAGCACCGTCAAGATGACTCGAGGGGGCTGGTGGCCGGTGCACGGCTGAATCTTCTGATATATGTATCATTATCTTAGAGTCAGTTCGATTCGCGTATGAGCGACTAATCAGCCGCGTATGTAAACACTTGAGTCGGTCACCCCCTTGCAAAAGGCTGGAGGTTACGAGGCCACAGCAACTGAACGGTCTCGAACCATACGGTCTGGCACAAATATCACCACATAACACAAATCCAGATGCATACAGACAATCTAGTACTTCTTTTTTGCCTTTTATACATAACTTGATTGCGGCACCCGAATCGAAGTGGAGGACCTGCAAACCTCTGGTCATTCTTCGACAATTACCTATCAAGCAGATATTGCACTCGGTCCATCCCCTTATATCCCTGTAAACCGGCTTTATATCGAGTCGGAACTCGGGTACCCCCGGTGGCCGGTGTTTTTTGGAACAAATTTCGGTTGTACCCCCCTGGTGGCCGGTTTATTTTTTGGAGTTCCGGACGCTCTTGCACAGATGATTTGACACGATGCCATGAGCTCTAAATACAATTAAGCGCCCTGCCACCTCGCCAATGCACAACAATTGCACGCATGCAGCACATATGCAGGCGGCGGCAACTAAGATATGCGAATTATTGATGAGTTCTCAAACGCGAATCGACAAACCGACAACTTCCATGCCACTGTGGAGCCGGGGGCATGCATCGCGTGAGTCATGCTCTCATGCAAATGGGAAATGAGCTAGTAGGACAAGAGTCTGGGGGCGATTTATCAATCGCGAAAATGGCAATGCGCAGCTCAGATTGCGACGGTGCGTGAGACTCATCTCGATCTAGATACGAGCCATACGACGAGCCGGTACTTGCTGCGGGCCAAAGTAACTAGTCCGCCGGGCGCAATTGGGGCTATGATTCAACCTCGTATGGTGCCCGGTGCAACCTTACCGGCAGCTGCAGAATAGGCCCCGGAACATGGAATATCGGAATACGGAATATCTGTTTTTGGAAGCAGAAGAATCCGGAATACCCAAATTTGGGCCTTGGAATACTAGAATACAGAATTTAGGGCTTTTTCCGAGCATACTAGACTACATGTGGCAAACAACGGCATAATACTTGACTTCGAAGTAAAAAGACTTCCAAAAGCATGCTTCTAAGGGAAGAAGATGGTAAAAGAACTCACACGACAAGTGCACTCCTTACGTACCTTTCAAAATGTCAAAAGTCACATTTGCGAAACAGAATACTGAGAATACAGAATACTTGAGCACCCTGGAATACGGAATACTGCCTTTTTGAAACCTTGGAATACTGAATACTGGGGGTCAAATATTCCATGTTCCGGGGCCGTCGAGCAGAAGTTTGGAACTTGTTGCAACTTCTCCAACTTCCACTTCCCGGAAAGTTGATAAGTTGCAAAGGCTTCTCAGCAACTTCTTTCAGGACTGCCGTTGAAATCTAAATGTTGACCGCGGCAATGGATTGTGACATTGTGAGTGGAGGCGGAAACGGGAGAGGACGAACAATGATGGCCCTAATAGTAATACAAGGCAATGCCACGCCTGACTCGGCCCCGGAACGTGAATATATGACTTTGGATATTCCATATTCCTCGATGGATTTTGGGCAATATTCCAATTCCTTGCCACCCCAATATTCCAGATTCCAAGAAATTTTGAGATTTAGGAATTCAAATTACCCGGATTCCTGCACAGGTTTTGCATTATTCCATATTCCGTGAAAAAAAAATCTCAAAACCAAATATTCCGATTACTAAGCCAAAAAATCCCGATATTCCAATTCCTGGAGCCCAAAAATCCCGATATTCCTATTCCAATATTCTCGTTCCGGGGCCGACCTGACGGCGTTTGCTGGCATTGCCAAAAATGGGGAGTCATAATTATGCAGATCGACCGTACATTGAAAACATGAAAACATCTTTGCAGTCGGAGGCCTGAGTCAGGGGGACTCCTCCAAACACCCCGGGTAAGAATGTTGGCAACAGTGAACCCATGTGCCAGCAGCTAAACGGCGACAGTGCCCGGAACTGAAAATTGTTGGGATTGAATCGGAGTCCACAGGGTCACCTTTCAAAAGATCAAAACCCAGAGCTTGGGGTCCGGGCAACGCGCCGTTTAGGTGGGTTAGGCTTGGGTTAAACAGCCAAAAACTATCAGCCCACCTCTAACACTTGTCTTAACCCGATAACCCTTTCCTCAGACTGACCGAGGACATAGCATCGGGCTCGGGACATCGAAACTATGCAATCTCGACCGCCCAGATCGGAAAATTTCTCATCTGACGGTGCGGGTCATGGTTCGCTCTGTTTCCGACAGTGGTGTTTGGTCCCCCTGGCCTGTGTGGGCGCGCCGAGACCGGTCGGACCGGAAGTTGGAACTCCGGAAAGCGGGTAGGATTCTCCGTGCGCGGCGTGTGACCTTTTAAATACCGGGTGACGGTGTTCGGAACGTATTAAAATAACCCCGGGGACCGGCGGTCCCCTTCTTAAAGCTAATTCGAATTATTAAACCCTGTGGGGCGGCCTTGAAAAGTCCAGAAAGCTAGCGGTCCCAGAGTCACCGGGCGGACAATACCGTGCAAACTGGCGACCAGAGTCCAGTGCAGACCCCAAAGCGTACCTCAGTGGGTGCGTACCTACTTCAAACCCATAGGTAGACCGTAGTAGGTACCGGTAGTACCGGCATGATCGGAGATTCAAACCTAGGTCCTCGTAACATACGTAGGATTATATATTTTAAACGCGACGAACTCCGTCGCCAAGTCAAATTGGTTGTTGGCCAAGGTCGCTGTCGTATAGTGGTTAGTACCTCACGTTGTGGCCGTGAAAACCTGGGCTCGAATCCCAGCAGCGACACCTTTTTGCCTCGTCCAAATTGCAAAATGTTGTCTTTCAGCTCAGACAGTTCTGCTTGCAGGTTGGGACTTCA